GTATCACTTTTCGTTTATAAGAATTGCTGTTCAGTTCTCCAGAATCCATAATCGTTCAGATATGGATCAGATATTAATTCAGCATTTTTAGTCTAGAAGTATTTAGTTTTCTGACGTTCTGTCTTAGATCTTAAAAAAAGGGATTTCTCTCATTAATAAACTTAGCTCGAGATGTATGTGCCTATAATCAGCAAACTAAGCAAAATGTACACTTGCATATGAGCTATGACCAAATTTAGAGTCTAAGACATAATTCCATCACAGTTGAAATGTAAAATAATAAACGTTGTAAGCTGAATCTGCACCTGCACTCAAGCAGGCTTGCCATTTTTAGATATAAATTCAGTCACAAGATGAAATTAAAGTTAGTTATATAGGCGTTGTAAGGTTGACATGTTTTTTTAAAGTGTTTTTTGGTGTTACCAAAATTAACTCGGGTAATACTTCGAACCCAGTAAAACGCATCTGCAAAAAATTAATTAATTAATTAAATTAATTTTTAAATGAAATTTATATTTTTAAACATTTTTGCAAATAAAGCCTATATTTTATTTAATCAGTTTTTCTTTATATATTTTATCTAGTTTGTTATCAGTTCTTTGGTTTTTTAAGCAGGTACTTCGGACCCCTGTTTTGTTTTTGATTTTAGAATACTTTATTTTATCTAAGAGCTTTAGTTAAGAATTATTCTTTTAATAAACAAATCATTGTTTGTCATTACTATTTCTACCATCATCATCATTGCGTATGTTTAATGAAAAATTTGAAAAGTAACATGTTCTTTTTGGAACCGCATTTTGAAACCTATTACCAACGTGGAACTGGAACGTTGTACTTGTTACCGAAAAATAACCGTTTATCCCACCTCTAATGCACATACATTAAATACACCAGGACCAACAATAATTCTTTATTTTATATATTCATATCCTTTTACATCTCTCGCTAGACGGGGTAATTTAAATCTATTGGAGTATGCCTTACGTGATTAAGTCGCGAAAAACCAAAGTGGTTTATATCTTCATACCATTTGTCACTCATAATGTTAACTTGACTTATATTATTTACCGAAAAGTACAAAAGAAATTACTAGTTTTTCCAAAACGGAATGTAAATTTTTTATTATCATCATATCTCTCACGCTTTTACTGCACAATTTTAACAGTTAAAATTTCTGAACCAAGAAAACTGAATTTATAGGTTCCTTCAATTACTAAAATAATATTTAATCCCTATAAATCAAAAGGAAGAGTCATTTATTTTAGTTAAATAGTTGTTTCTTTAAGAAAGCCAATTTAAATACGCCCGTTGTAGTTTAAAAAGTAGTGTGACTATTCCGCTTGTGCTGAACTGAATTGCTACTTTTATATGATTCCTTAATGGAATTGCCCAATTGAAACCGGTTAATTTAACTCATTTTTAGTCAAGTATAATTGCTTGTAATTTTTTTCAATACCATTAATTTTGTTACATATTTAACTTTCATTTTCATTTTGTTTTAGGTCTTCACCAAGCATGCCCACAACGCAATCCTTCCAAGTGAGTAATTACATCATAATGAATAAAACATTCTAGTTAGTCAGAATGCAAAAATTCAAGCGATTGCTTGTCAAAAAGCTCAACCAGTTTCGTATATTGCGTATGAAAATAGGAAAAACAATTTTCTCCTGTTTCAGTTTATTGGTTATTAGGTATTGGTAATAGTGAAATTTTGAAATGTTGGAAGAAAGGCTCATAGTTAAGCAAATTTTTATATTATGTATATTGGCTATTATAGTACAATCCAGGACGTTTTCTTTCTCAGTCTCTGCTACAGTGCAAGTTTAGGGTGAAACTTTCAATCTACAATTGAATTCTAGTCTTATAGTATGAAACGTTTTGTGTCCTCTGCTTTTATGTTAAACAAATGAGAGTTTGGACAACAAAATTTTATTAAACAGCGAATAAACGGCTTAAATAGAATTGTTCAGCGATGTCTTGAATCAGGATTATTTTATATATTTTCAAGGGATATTTTTTGTGTGGTTTGTTTACATTGAAATATTTAACAACATTGAAAATGGTTTGCTAAAAAACGCAAAAATATCATTCCGTTCATGAGTAATGAAGCTGTATGAAGAAATAACCGGAAATAAAACTTAAAAGCTTTATATATGCCACTTACTTTTTTAGAACCTAAACTTGCAATATTAAAAGAAAGGCCTGGAATAAACGACTTCTCATTATGCTTGATCATTCCCTCCAAATGTTTCATGTTTATACTAAAAATGTTTACGCCAGGTTTAGAAAAGTGAGCCCCACGAGTTTTAAATATTAAAAACACAATTACATTTCTTTTAGATGTTATATGTGTACGTAGGCCGTATGCATTCTACTCAATGTTTAAATGACCATTCTTGCTGGAATTCAAATTGGTAAAGCTATTGTAACGATTTGGTGATTGGACAATTTGTTAGCAAAATTTGTTTTTGGTTTCTTTAAATTGTTACACTCACTTATTTTTTCAAATTTATTTTATAACAAAATATAATAGGACATGTCATTTGCCTCAAAATGCGTTTAACTGGTTAAAGAGAGGAGAGAAATTAAAAATATTAAATTTTCATTGCTCTACAAACTGTCAAAGTTCAAATATTTCAACAGACTAAAACTGACTTTTTTAAAATACATGTAATATTTTTTTACTTAAACATTTGGCATCTAGTACTTATTTAAATATATCTTTTAAAATTTTCGTGATTTAAAAAATGGCTTTAGTTTTAATTTTATGATTACTTACCTTTCAACCTTGACTATAGGGCAACCCTAAAAACTTGGTATTTAGTAAAATATTGTTTAATTCTTTTTAACATATTACGAAACGTATTGAATTATGTATAATATATGTTCATATGCCTTATAAACAAAAGCTCTTTAATTCAATGGCGTAATTACTTAAATTAGATAAGCAAAATAATTATTAGGCGTTTTAATAATTTACAGCCACTTAGGGTGAGCTATAACTCGCCGAATCGAGCGAAGACAAAGATGAAAATATAAGTTTGTAGCACTTAGCGTCACCTGAAAATAAATCCCTAGTAAATTTGCGAGAAAATACCTTGGAAATATTAGTCTCAATATTTGAGATTTATGATCCTGAAATTCGTACAATAAATGGGAATTTTTGAGGCAAATCAATAAGAGTCTGAGAGCAATGCTTTGAAAATAGATAAATCCTTTGAATAATCAACCGAAATACATATATTATTATTTTTAGTTGATTGAATTTTGTTCTCCTTTTACTGGTGAAGTATGAACGCTAATCAATTCTTCCAATGAAAATAGTCGCAAGAAAAGCCTCAGTCGCTTGTTGGTGATACAGAATTGAATATTCCCCAATGATCAGGCAATAAAATGACATTTTTGTTCGCGACACAACTGGTATATAGACATTTTTATTTTAAAAATAACTATATTTTCAAAGAAGTAAATATTTTGGAATATATCTAAACGCCTTATCACTGAGCTTTAATAGTGGACATTTGTCAGCAATACAATATGCAGGTAATTCAATGTGGAATATCAAACATAAAGCCCTGAAAAGAAATAGAGCGATATTGTAGTGATATATGTCTTGCCGTCGTTGCAATATGCACATACTTAAGGGCATTTTTCTTGAAAACTATATATTTCTTAACATTTTGAAATGGATTAATGGATGTCTTATTGAGACCGTGTTTCACTTAAATACGATATTGAGATAAGGTTTGTTAGAATTTATAGGATGTACTACTATAACAGTAAATATTATAATGGTTTATTTGATCTTTTTTCTGGGCTGCGTCAGTATTCTTGGTCAGAACCGAATAAACCGTTTTATATAATTTGGAGTTTCATCAGCAAATTCACTATTTGTATATTCTGGGCACGACGTAGTAAACGCCGCATGGTTGCAAAGCTTTTAATAACAATTTTTAAATTTAATTTCTATTCAAAATGAGAAAACAGTGCTTTTAGTTTCTTTGATAATTAATTTCATATGAGGTACATTCGGTCGAGCTGCTATTATTTATATTGTAAGTATTTATAAAAGTGTTAGTAATAATAACATTATTTAAATGGTTATTTCACCTACCTACTATGAGCGCACCAGTGAAATATATGTTTCCAAAAATACTATTATGAATAAATAAATATATTTGCAATTATACAAAAATAATACTGTTCTAAACCAAGAAACCCTTATCTGGGTCATTGTATATTATTGGTAAATATGACTCGCGAATATGAATTTGTTGGAAAAATATTGTGTTATTTTGACAATTGCACTTGCATGCAAAAAAATATAATTGCACTTGCCATTTTTTCCGTAAAATTTTTAGAGCATAAATAGAACAAAATATAACGTTTAATCTTCACAAACAGTACCTATATGATCTTGTATAGAGGCAAATTTCGAATTAACTAATCTCTTTTTATTTCTGTTCTTTATCTAAGTTTATCTGCATTTTTTCAGTACTTTAGGGAAAATTTAATAAATTTAAATCTCTTTTTTCTTGGTTCCATTGAAGTGTTTGAAAGTTTTTTCCAACCTTTCTTACTTTTTCCTCATACTTTGATTTTATTTTCGACCTGACCTATTTTCCTAAAATAAGTTCTTGATCTATTTTGCTTCTATAATGGTATCTATATATCTATATATTTATATCTGATCCATATCCATATGTCGTAGTTATTTTTTATAAAACTGGCTTTACCCAGAAAATTTTTTTCTTCTTGCTCTTTATTAGGGTTCATTAAATTAGGGTTTCCACACTTGATAGATTAAGGCCGGAGTCTACAATACAAGGATATACTCGGAACAGGCTTTACTCGGGATATACTTCGCGATTTGCGTTCTACAATGACGGAATAACTTTGTTCCCGGTATATCTGCGGTATAACTTATACCGCCTGACTTGGGGAGATATACTTTGAACAACGGAATGCTTGCATTCTATTGGTCAATTTGACTGTTAACATAACCTAGTGCTAATGTTTACTTTTTGTATGCAAAGTGGGTTTGCTGCATAGTCGTATTATCTATTATTACTTACAATACATACCAACATTAACATTAAAGAAAATGAATTTCACGGACTTGAATGTATTCGATTCCGATGACGACATGGATGATTTATTATTACGTCGGCAACCTAAAGTATTTAGAAGTCGGTAGGTATATTTTACATTTGATTCACTGTAAATATATTACTTTGAGGAATTTGATGATTTGGAGTTTTTCAAACGCTTCCGGTTGCAAAAAGGTACTGTTCATTTGTTGATAAGTCAAATTGAAGAAAGAATAAAAGCACCAACTTTGCGTAACAAAGCGATATCCCCAGCTACAAAAGTGTTTTTGGCCTTACGCTTTTATGCCACAGGAAGCATGCTAATAACAGCTGGCGATTTCACAGGAGTGAGCAAAACCTCAGCTTGCAATATTGTTACTCAAGTAACAGACGCCATAGCCAGATTACGACCAATATATGTTCGATTTCCTGAAACTCAAGCAGAGATCTTGTCAACAAAGCAAACATTTTATGGAATTGCAAGGTTTCCTTATGTCGTCGGTGCAATTGATTGCACGCATGTTCGCATCCAATCACCTGGTGGAAATGAGGCAGAACGATATCGAAATCAATCGTAAGGGCTATTTTTCGTGGAATGTACAAGCAGTTTGCGATGCACGTCTTCGCTTCACAGACATAGTAGTAAGATGGCCTGGATCGTCACACGATCAGACCATTTTTAACAATAGTAGGTTTAAGGCAAGACTCCAAAGTGGGCATTACGAAAATTCAATTCTCCTAGGAGACGGTGGATATGGAAACTCCAACTTTTTACTGACGCCTTTAAGGCAACCTTCTACAGCAGCTGAGAGTTTGTATAATGAATCCCATATCCGCTCTCGCAATTGTATAGAGAGGGCATTTGGTGTATGGAAACGAAGATTTCCTGTACTATCCTTGGGTATGCGCCTTTCACAGGAACGCTCCCAAGCAGTTATTGTGGCTACCACAGTGCTCCACAATCTGGCAATAGAAGAAAGAGATGGTGACCCCCCTTCTGAAGTTGACGATAACAACGCACTGGAAGAAAATGTTCATTCAATTCAACAATCATTTTTCTAATTTGGTGTAAAGATTTTATGCTTGTGTCAATGATTGTGATGAAGTGATTGCCAGTCTGGTTTAGTTTATTGGCCTGTTAAGTGAGAGCTGTTGGGCTGTGTCATTAGATATTTCAAAAATCTATTGTTGAATGTCTTTTAAAAGTTACCCAGTTATTTTAAAAAGTAAGTGCGTAAACAAATTTAGCAGAAAAAATAAAAAATATTTTACAGTTTAATTCACTTATTTTTAATTTTTTTACAATTTTTATAATAAATTTTTTTTGCTTCTAGCACTTCCATTTCTAGCTTATGTTTTTCAATTTTTGTTTCTTCTTCATTTATCATACACTCCATTTGAAATCTACGATGGAAACGTACAAAACAACGTGTTCTCAAAGTAGGGTTCGAGGGTTAATAACTGTCAACACTGTCACACTGCCGGGGGCGTAAATATACTATAAATCCGTCCGAATGGACTATTTGTACGCAACAGTACTAATACCGGGTATAGTTATAGCATATATACAATAAAATGCAAAACTGACCTCGTTCTGCGCATGCTCCAACGTTTATGAGAGACGATAGATTGGCGATACGACTCATTGACCACATTGTTGACAATTGTTGATCTGAATCTGAACTGTATATATAAATAATGTTTATTTACAGAAAAAGGCTATCGACCCAATCGGTCTTTCTGCCCTCTGAAGTATTAAACATGTTTAGTAGGTTCAAAATTCAAGTACAATATGAAATCTGAAAGGTATATAATATACTGGTTCTAGAGATATACGGCAACTGTTTATCTTTTGAGTTGCTATTTATTTTGCAGGACGAAGTTTTAATGTTCTCTGTGCGACCAAACTGATTCAACTGTGTCTGGTAGAAGTGGTCATATCATAAATTGTCACCCAGATGCAAAGCAACAAATAAACAACCATTCCATGTTGTTCCATTGAAGTTTCAACCAACATCTTAATAATGTTCATGTCTTATTTACTAAATAATTGCTGTGAGGACCTTGTATCTATGTAACGTATGTCCTACGAATGTAACAGAACTTCATTTTCTTCCAGAAATTTTTAGTGCTTTTCTTATTATTTAGGTTTTGTTATGACATGTAGAATGCGGGTCGCATGTTGTATTTGGCCATGTACACAATAAACCTTTTTAAATAGGAGTTGTTTATTATTTCTCTATGTCTTATTAAGTTCAATTTTTTAACAGTTACCGAACATAAAGTTGAGGTTTAGTTTATAGGAGTTTATATTCTGCACTTAAAGTGGAATTTTAAGAAGTTGTAGGAAATTGTAATTGTTGTATAAAAATAGTCTAATGAAAACAATAGGTATGCTTTTATGCTGAGAGCCATCTATTTAATCATTAAATTACAAATTACCTGAAAACCGTGAATAACAAAAGTTAAAAAAATACGAAAACTAATCCGCAGTGGTTAGAAAAGAAGTGCAGGTACAGATACACAAAAAGGGAAGCGGCGTGTTCGATATTCAGAATAGTGAGTAGTCTGCTGAGAGTAAATAGCATAGAACAAGGATAGGTAAATAGTAAGTAAACATCCCCCTTTCAGATCAACAATGTAGTGAATCTTAGGTTAGGTCCTTAGGTCGTCTCGCCAATTTATCGTCTCTCATAAACGTTGGAGCATGCGCAGACGTCAGTTTTGCATTTTAATGTATGCTGTAGTTATACCCAGACGAACAAGTGATTGTAGAACTCACGCAGCGATATACTCCCGATATTTCGGGGTATAAGTTATACCACGAACTATTATACCGTTCTTTTTACTTACATTGTAGAATCCGGCCTTAAAAAAACAAACTATTTCTATGCCGATATTTATGCTCATTTTTAACGCCATCAAGAAATGGAGAATTAATTTGGTCAAGTATCTAATGTAACTAAGGGGTACTGTTGTATAATATTTGATTATTCTCGTCCACAAATTTGTTTAAAATGTTGATTGATGTGGGTTGGCTTTATAGAGTGAGGGTTTTCGTTTAAATGAATGGAACGATTATGCGAGTTAATCGACCGGTAGTTCGAAATGCTGTTTCGTCTAAATGTACCTAACATTAAGGCAGGAAATTCATTAGCGTGTTTGAACTTCACCATTAAGCTGTGTTTTACTATAGCAGTGCGTAATTTTTTCTTTTTGATCATGATACAAATGAAGCACTTAGGGGAAAATGTTTTTCTCGCAATTAAAAACAACATAGATGAAGATTTAATCAAGAAATTTCAAGATTCAATAAAATCTTGAATATAAATATCTTGTTCCTAATTTGTTCCACTTTGTTGGGTAGATAACGCAACCAACATCAAAAGTAAAAGATGAAAGAAAATATTTTGCCGAAAGAATCTAAGAAGTTATGAATACATTCTATAAATGGATTGAGAAGTATTAGTTCTTAAATTTAAACTTTATTTTCATTTACGCATTTTATTGCACGATCATAACAACAAAAACTGTTCATTAATCATCATACATTCGCGAAAGATTCCAAAATAGTTTCAACATGCAATGTGTTTCTTGCGCTTCAATTGAAGAACAAATCCTGGGAATAAAAATCGTATCATATTAAGCCAAATGAACGACAAAATAACAAAACAAAATCAGAAAGTCTTCGATCAATTTTATTTCCATTATGGGTACCTGAAATAGATGTGAAAATAATGAAAAAAACTAAAAGCAGTGACAGATCTACCGCGTTCAAGAAATTTCTCGGATAAATCTGCCGAGGTAATTTGTGCGATTGTTAAAGTTTTTCTGCGTCGAAAATGGGAAAAATTACTCGGGTTTTATGGTTCAGTTCAGAAGATTGCTCGGATATAAAACTATTCGATGGGGAAAACGTACAGGGGCGTCAGCTGAGTTCGCTTAAGTAGGGCAAAAGTTTGTATAAAGACCACCTACTGATATGAAAAACATACATGAGCAGTACTAGGTTCTAAATTATACAGGATGTTCGTCAGTTGAAAATGGCGTTTTTCTTATTTCGAAGTGGACGAGGGCTCTCCAATAACAAGAGAAACATTTTTTTAGAGTTTTATTTAACTAATTTTTGTTAAGTGCATGTTGACGACTTATTATCATTAATGGTACTTTGTTATTCTTCATGGTATGACTAATATTGCTCTATTCTAGTGAAAAAATCAGATTGAAAATTAAATTCTAAATAATGAAATCTTAGGATTATGTTACTTGTGCCAAATGGTGTTATCTTAGCAAATGTTACGTAATTCAGGTACGTAAACTGATTTGGTTTCTACTCTGTGTAAGCAAGAGGAGAAAGATCAGGTTCAACTGACGCCTGTTTTAAAACTGACGATTTTGAATAAAATATCAAGTATAGTTAAATTGTATTTCCCGTTACTTAAACCACGTAGCGAGCTTAGCTTTTAAAAACTGTATACAATTGAAAATCATTAATCATTGGTTTCGCACCGAAAGTGATTGTAGAAGTTGGAAAAAAGTGTTTAAAAATTCCATATTAACACTGGCTAGCCAGTCGTTTGGTTGGATTTTTGGTTCTCTTTTAGCTCCAACTCTATTAATTTTAGCATCGTCTTTGCATCTGCAGTTTCGGAAAATTAAATGTAGCTTTTAGTATGTGGGGGAGCTGTGATGTTTCCTGGGGTTTTGTGACTTGAGTTCAATAATGCGTTTGTTTATTTGGCAAAGATTATTTTAAATTTTACACTCCACTTCCAGATTTCCTATACGCCACTATAAACACTTTCATATTCACTAATTCAAAGCAGCGATGTGATAAGTTGTAAACAGCATACTGCAGAATTAGCATTCTAGCTCGGATGGATATTAATTAATGTTCACTTGCGTTGTTAATTGGGAACATTTTAAGACATGGGTACATACCTTAAAGCCATTACTCAGATTATAAATGTATTAGTCTTTGAGCAACCACAACCATATTGAGATATTAATTGCCATCTAACTATTTTCGACATTGACAAACGATCGATACAGTGGAAGTTTATTAGATACTGTGAATTTGGATTACAATATAAATATTTCATACGTTTGAACAATTCTCAAATTGTGCTGCTTGATTCGAAAAATCTTATTTGGCTTTCTCTTTTTCGGTTGAAATTTGCTCAACATTCTTGGGATCTCTTAGTATGAGTTTTAGTTCGGATACGTATAAGTCGTAAATAAGCAACAATATTTGGAACCAAAAGCTGCCAATGCAAAAGTATATATTTTAGACATAATATTCAATGTAGCGAATGTTAAGCCCACAGTGGATTTAGGAAAAATATGTATTTTAAACGAATAAGTCAGTTCTTTATGAATAATGGTCTGTTTCTACCACGCAGCTGAGAAATCACGATTGTTGGTGACATTGCTCTGACAAAAAGTGATATTTCTCTTCCCAGGAAAATGAAAATAATGAAATTGATCAAAATTACTTTTCTCACCACTGTTAAATCTGACGTCATTGTTAGAAATTTATATGCACTTTTATTAGCTGCTAAAACATGCGAACTTTTTGAGAAACAATCCAAACTTGCTTGGATTTTAACTTATATAGACAACTGATACAAATTTCTAATCTAGAATCATACTTCTAATTATTTGTAAAAAAAAATTAAAGTTTAAAATTAATTAATTTGAAAATTAATGTATTAACGTAAAAATAATATATGTCGAACTTTGGTGAAATTTATACGTTGAACTTTTATCACCATTGATCCTTTTGATTTACCGAGCTGCGCGTCTCAAACATACAAGAGCGCTGTAAATAATAGCTCACTCTTCGACCTAAGTGTATAAAAAACTTTTCTATTATTATTACTATTATATTAATAGTTTAAAATGCTTTTCAAATTCATTCAAAAAAGTTGCTTGCAAAAGGCTGACTTTTTTGCCAAATTTAACTAACTGAAGCACTTTAGCAAATCATGGGCGACTTTTTTGTGTAAAAAAATGTCACCACTTTTCCTTTCAAATGAGATGTGCGTTGAAAAATGAGTTTTTCCAAACAAAACCGATTCATTATCTCTTAAGTAATGATAAACGATGCGTAATAAAACGAAAAACCTTTTAGACGCGAAAATAACAACCGTATTATTTATGAAAAATAAGTACATAAAAACCAGAGTGAAGCAATGGGGTCGTCATAAAGTGGACGATAATAGCGTTAGATCCTGTCGTGCTCTTTTAAACATTTTATTCGGGTCAGAGTTTGCGCAATTTATTTTCGGCAATGGGCTTTAACCATACAATCCTAAATTAATTTTGGTGTCCGCTTTTGGGGTGACACATGATTCATGCTGAAAAAACATTAATTTTCCATCTCTGTTTGTTTTTGGTCTAAAAAAGCTATCTATTTAAAAATAGAAAAATGCTAATTTCTTCGGCAACGCCAGTGATTGGAGCAAGAACAGACTGGAGTCTGTTTGCTTAACAGATTGTTTATCCCCAACTGTGGTGTGCTCGAAGGGTTGTGTCCAACTTCCACGTCTGAGTTGTGTAAACTAAGAAATACTGTTTGTAATTAAATTAATTTTTGGGATGAAGTTGTCTTTGTAAAATTGAAATAGCCTCTCTTACGGGTGTTTATGGAAGTTTGATTTCAGTTTCAGATTCAGGTTCAGTTTGATTAACATTTCATGAATGACTTCCTTAAGACTTTTTCAGTGTGTATGTGTGTTTCTTTAACATCCATGTCTTCCTGTCTTCTTTTACTTTTGTCGAGTTTCTTTGGTCTGCGCATTTCGACAAAATATTTGCCTTTATTATCTGAGTTATTTTATTTTAACGGAGAACGGTCGCGCTTTGTAAAAACATTAACAGTGGAAGGTTTACATAATATGGATTAAATAAAAATGTACATTTATGTTTATATTTATATTCTGAAAAAATATATTAATTTATAGGAACTCTGCTATTCGCTTTATCGTAAGACACACTTCCTTGAATTAATTACATGTGCATAAGTAACATCCTAGTCAACCTATATACAAACTAAAGGAAGCAATGAAAAAGCAAGCTAAAACTGAAATCATGAAAAGAAAAACTTTGAAACAAAATGAAGCTTTGCTTTAAAAATTTAACATAGTTTTGTTAGAAAATGCAAAAAAAATTAAACTTAATCGCTGATAACTTGTTTTTTCAAAATCAAGCCATCAATTTCT